ACTTATGGGATAAAATCCCATCACACTTTTACAGTACGTGCTGTGTGGAGGTGGAAAGAGTGCAAAAAAAGCAAGTAAATATCAAAATGATTTAAACCAAATTTTACTTTATCTAAAAGTCACTTAGTTACTTTTTGTAAGCAGAAAAAAAACATCATTCTGGTCCATTTTGTAAAGGAAAAGAAGGGATGTTGGCCTTAAACTATTAATCAGCTAAAAAAAAACTAACAGCTGCAATAAATATGCTTTATTATTAAATTTATTAAAATAAAAAAAAAAATCAGCACTGGTTTATATGATTAAATGGTAAAATACCTTTTCTTGTATAACCTTTAATTTGCTTCTATTTTCCATATATTCAGTCACCCATGCATAAACCCCTACCCTGGCATATGCCGAGTTTGGTTTTAGATTTATTTTTGTTTCATTGTTTATAGTTAACAAATTACATACACAAATGTGATCCATTCTGTACCAAACATGTACTTCAACATATTTAATGTTATAGAAATTCCAATTGCAAATGATTGAGAAACAAATGAATTATCATAGATTGTCGACCCCTTAAGTAGCCTTACCGCCCTCTGTCCTCCCCAAATAAAAATAAGATAATGATAATAAATAAGAAGCATGTAATGTTGTTTTGAGATAGCTTTTTTAATGGCAGAAACTGTCTGGCTTTATATACAGCAGCAGCCATTCAACCAAATGCCAGCCGAATGGCAGCCCACTTCCCTACAACTCCCAGCAATATCCCCAACTTGGAGTGACCCCCTCTTGCATATTTTTTCACCCTGACTCCACCATTTCACTGAATCACAGGAGACCAGGAGATAACATTTCTCTTTAGATCTTAAAGTCCACAAATCATGACAGAAAGAATATTTTAGTACAAAGATTGATCTTTAAAAAGGAACTGTAGGGGACCAGCCAAGGACCCATCAAGGAAAGTAGGGAAGTTTTGAATGGGTACTATTGTACTGCCTCTGACAATAGGAAAAAGAAAACATAAGGTGAGATATCTTATTTCTTTCTTAAGCACAAAGAATTAAAGGTGTGAAGCCAAACTTTGCAACTCAGGAGTCTGACCCCCTCTTAGATTAACTGTGAAAATGTTTTATCCATTCACCATTGGTCCAGCAACATGAGAATCACTGATCTTAAATAAACTTTGTGACGTTTCATCTGCTCTGTCAATCATAAGACCATTTGGAGTGTCGCTGACATAAAACAGCAGGACACAGTGTAATCCAGATGTCCCCACAGGCTTCAACACAGATGGGTGTAATTAATCATTTTATTATATTGTGTTCAGATTACATAAACAGCATTTTTACAATCAAGATGGCTGTGATAACACATGTGTGAGATGGTGGGATTGCTCATCAGAGACACCCCAGAAAGTCTGGTCTTGGAAGTAGACATAAGCCGTTACTCATGACTTTAACAGGGGCCATGCTGATTCGTGACTGCTGATCTACCCACACATTTCTTGTTAGCTGAGATGTAGCCTCCCACTGATAATAACACAATATAACTATGCTGATGTCATTTTCTCCTGTCTTTAAGAGCTAATTAAAAACTTTCAAATAAATACACTAAGTTTATGTTTTGCTATCATTCATGCTCTTGGTAAACTAAATAAGGTTGCATGTAGTTTTAGTATCTCATTTAACCTTTGGAGTACAGTCACTGACAGTCATTAGCCAGTCACACAGTTAGATAATCAGCCAGAAGATATTTTGTTTCCTTCACAGCAATTTTTTTTTTATTCTTGGCTCAATCTTTCTGTTTATATCGCCTTTGTCACAGCTTGTTAGCAGAGTCACATGGGGTCTTCCTCTCCCTCTCCCAACAATCTGCTTCCTCTGCTGCTGAATTATAGATACAGCCTACCTTCATTACCTCTCCGAGGGAGGTAGTTTATGATAAAGTGTCACCCCACCCAGCTTTACTGGCTTAAATATTAATTTATGCTGTGAATATTCCTCATTCTGTGTTTTCTTTCGAATTGCCAGCAGCATTTAAATGGGGCATAATAAGTTGAAGCTTCCTCCTGACTACAGGGATAACAGATGGATTTTTTTGTGGCTAAACACCTCAGCTCAATGCTGTGAAACCTACTGTTGAGCCACATACTGTACATGTAATCTGAATACAGTAATGTATAAAAAACCAAAAGAAATACATTTGATTTTTTTAAAATTGGTTTGTGTGGATGTTTTCATTTGTCTTTACTTCTTTTTAAAGTGACATTATTACAGATCAACACATGACAGTCTCTTTGAAATCCTCCTGAAAAAGTTCTGGATTGTGTCTGTTTAACATACAAGTTTTGTCAGGATTTGGTTATGGATTGTTGACCCAAAAGCAGAGGCAGGAAGGCAGAGGTGAATTTCTAGGTGATTAAATGAAGGTTTACTGAAAACAGAGGCAGGTAATCCAAAAAAAAAATAAAGTCCAAACTAACAGGAAACCAGGTGTCCAAATATCCAAAAATCAAACAAGAAAACAAGTCAAAACGAACCAAAAACCATGGAGACATCAGGGGGAATAACTATTGCAAGGTGGAAGGCTCAGAGAGATGGAGTTGGAGGAAGATTGACGAGGAACCAGCACTGAAGAATTGCACAGAGAGAGTATTTATGGGAGATTGAAACAAAGGGACAGCAGGTGTGAGCAAAGCAAAAACAAGAAGGGAGCAAGGGAAAAAAAGGAGAACTAAAGAGAGCAAGCGGACAACAAATAAAAAC